ATGCTACATGTTTGGTCTAATATTTTTCTGTTTTGGGTTGTTCTAAGATAGTTGATCTAATTTACCATAGTATGATTCGAAAATCTGTAGTAATGAAAACTCATTAACATTTTTCACGTCTTGGTGGATTGTTTTGTTAAGGGTGTTGAGATATTTACTACTGAAATTTGCCAAAATAGATAATGTCCATTTGTTCATGTGAGCCACAGAACATGTATTCAAATGGAGCTTCTTTGGTCACATGAGTTAAAAAGTTTTTAGGTATATCTACAATGTGTATTTAGTTAAAATGACTTTATCGATACAAACCGACCAACCCAACCCAACCCGACCGACACATAATTGGGTTGGGTTGGGTTTCAATATTTATATGGGTTGGGTTGGATTTTGAACAAACCCACAATGTTGGGTTGGGTTTGGGCAAAAACCGACCCAACCCACGCCCACCCCCTATATGCAGTGCATGACGGGAAGAGCAAAATGTGGGCATTAAAAGAAACAAAGAAATATGGGAAAATTGCAACGGGAGTCTTTAATCTTTACAAAAAGTGCAAATAGATTCACAACTAAGACTTAAGAGGACCTACTCTGTTACAAAAGTGAAAGCTTGAGGATCTATCTGCACTTTTTACCAACGTTAATGATCCCGCTACAATTTTCTTCAAGTTAAATTCAACTGCTTTTAAATGCAAAAAAATGGGATTCCGTTGCCGGGACTTGAACCCGGGTCTCTCGGGTGAGAGCCGAGTATCCTAACCAACTAGACTACAACGGATTTGTTGTTAACCTTATAAATTAAATCTTCTAATCTTAAAGTAGGAACGAAACCTTCGCTCCTTAAAACTACAATTCATACAGAGAACTGCCAAAAAATTATTAGTGCACGTCTGATTTACCAACGCATGTCATTTACAATTGGATGAACAATTATCAGAAATATAACATTGAACGTATTCAGCTCATAAAATAAACCAAAATTCAGAAGTTAAAAAATAAAATAAAAAAAAAAAAATGGCTACATTTGTTTGAGCCCCATTAAATGGTAAAAAAAGATTTTGGAATAGTAATTTTTCGGAGAATGTATGGTCGAAAAGTAAGTTTTTTTAGTTACATGTAAAATTATTTTATCGAGTATATGTGTTTGAAAATAAATTTGGAGGAAATGTATTACTGATAAATGAGACTCGAAGAAGGGCGACATTCAATACAAAAATCAAACAATGGATTATTCATTTTAATTCACCTTTTCCCGTCAAAAATGTAAAACAAATGTTTTCTATTTCAGATAGTTTGTTTTCCTAATCAGGGAGGGGGGGCATTGAATTTTTTTTTAGTAGATTTTTTTTTTTTTTTATAAATAAAAATTTCTTGTGTAATTTTTTTTTTTGTTTTTTTACGTATTAGCCCGACTTGTAATCCGGTTCTGGATTCGTTCATGTTATTAATCCCTTTGGGTTTACTTTATAGTAAAACAATTACAGAGTCACTTTCAACTTGTCTTTGCTCTTTTCCATACAATGACAGTTCCACCAAAATCGGAAGAAGCCAACAAATTCTCTCCATGGTTCCAAGCAATGCCTATAATCGGGTAGCCATGACCCTGCAGTAATAACCAATCATTAAAATACATAAAGCAGGTCGAACAAGACCTTGGATGAAATCATGAAGTTGAGATATACCTGTAGTTTGTTTACACACGTATGCTTTGGTCGAGTTAAATCGTAGAAATAGACATTAGCATCTTCATTCCCGGCAACTTCATTGATGTATAGATTAGTGTGAATGAGAAGGGGATGTTCTTGTACATATTTTACGAATAAACTTGTAAAAGCATTAACATTTTAGTAGAAAGAATGCAATTTTTGCCTAAAGGATTTGGCAGGCAAGATGACGAATATCGTGTTTGTCTAATCTTGTAATTAAGTTTACTTATTTTGATGTAAGAGTTACTTTCAAATGAGTAACTTTTTTTAGTTGAAAGCCAGAGGAAAAATAACATATCCAACTATTTTGAAACAAAAAGTTGTATAAAAGAAAGTTTTACTTTTAAGCTTAGCCAAAACACATAACAAATGGCCATAAGAGCATCCAAAGAACGCCTTTAGTCCCATTGACATAAAGTTGGCAAAAGCATTATCTTCTTTAAATTGCTGTAAAAGTGTAGAAAGGATTATATGTAAATTGGCATGCATACCTATAAATTCTCCCTTCTCAAGGGAAAGTAGAGGACAGAAAGAAGCACGAATGCTATGCAGTCGTGGAGCCAATTTAAGTGCACAGCGAAGAGTCAAATAACCTTGTATCTCCAAAGAGACGCTACATCAAATAAAAATGCCATCTAAGGTATTAGAATACTGATATTATATCTGAAAGTAAAAGGACAAATATTACTGAACAACCTGAAGAAAGACAAACTTCCATCTTGAGAAAATGTTAGCAACACAGGACCTCGGGTGAGCAAAGAAAAGGTTCTGTACTGTACAGTAGTGACTGGAGAATTATGCTTGCTGCTACTTCAATTACGATGAGACCTAGATAAGGCACCTGTACGTGAATCCATACTAACTGTGTATACACATCCCTGCGATCATTTGTAAAGAAAATGTCTTGCTCTTGGGGGAAAAAGAAGAAGTTCAAAGCTAATCAGTTATCAGAGGTGGAGGAGTCCATGAGGAGCTAACACACCTTAGCATCACCGCAGAAGATAAGCTGACCAGTGTGGTCATGGTCCATAGCAGTAACCTTACTGTCAAAGGTCGCTTTACTGATTGTTCTTCTAGTGTTGAAATTGAACAGCTAGAATGCCAGTTATAAACAAGTGCGTATGTGAGAATATGTTAACTGTCTTACGCAAGGTAAAGGCATTAAGCAATGCATTTGATTTAATCTCTAGGATGGCATAATATCTCCAGAATGCAGATTTGATATTTTAACAAAAGGAAAAACATCTAACTAGATGCATGTTAATAAATACAGAAACAATAAGAAAAACTTGTCGACATCAAAGACACTTAAACATCGCAGGACAAAATAATAAATTGATACTACTAGTTTTGGATAGTACACAAGAAAAGGAAAAGCCAGCGCTACTAATATGGGCACAAGAATGGTACGTCGTCTTTTGTGCCTAGCACACAAATGCTGACATCCTCAACCAAAGAAAGAAAACAGAAGAAATTGATATAAGGAAATGGTTTCATGGTTTTGATGAAACATCCACCCAAAATAATTGTGGTTTCAATAAGTAACATTTGCAAGCAGTGAGAGGACACTTAGTTAAAGTTTCACATGAATTACCATTATTTCCTTGTTTGCATTGCCAACTGAAAGAAAATTATTGTTCACCTGCATGAGTAAAATAGTCAAAATGACACTGTACCAGCAAACTTAAAACGTAATATAACTTTATTCTTTCAGGGCAGAAACCACGACAATAGCATGAAAGTTTCACATACTTACCGGATGAAAACGAATACAAAGTTGAGGTGAAATTCCATAAATCACCCTCATACAAAGGCCTTTCAAGATATCCCATACTCTAACAGTTTTGTCGATTGAGGAAGATGTGATGTACTGATTGTTAGTTGAGAAGTCAAAATCTGAGGAGAGAAATTTTAGAACTCAATGTAGACAGAGTACTTAGCTCAATGTGAATCATGAAATGTGCATCTATGAGCATGTATTAAAATGCTAAAAATAGACCACCACGAGGCCCCAGGTTGTTCCAATATTTCACTCTGAAGACTCTATGAGGACGTTTTAAAGTGTGACCAAGGTCTAGGGGGGTTTACAATTAACAGAGGAGGGTTGACAATTTAAATTGAGTCCAGTCAAAATATGTTCTACATCAAGACAAATGGTGCCATCAAGGGGTCTCCTAAGGGAACAGAAAGCAGATCAGCAAAAAGTTACTACAGAAAAAACACCAGTTAATCCTACCTGTGACATCTTTTGTATGTCCCGTTAACTGCTGGAGAACTGCAGGTGAAGTAGAAACAATGCATACAGTCAAGCTTCCATCTGATGCTCCATAAGCAAGCAGATCAGAACTCATGTGCCCAAACTTTATGACCGTAACTACAAATAATAACAGTTGGTTAAAGACAAAATAGGCAGCAACAATATACAATCTGGTCTTGTTCTCTGAAAGACGTACCCATGGCCTTGCACTGGTCAAAAATGCAGTGCATCCCTACAAAGGAATATGCAGGTTCGCCCTTTCTACGTGGGAGCTCAGTATCACTTACATTTGAACTGACACTTGTGCGGAAACTCAATGCTCTACTACCACTTCATAGATCCTTGGAGAAAGGAAGAACAGAACATATTAAAATGACAAGGCTAGAACACTTCTTATGAGGGAATGACATGTGAGTGTATAATTCACAATGAATCACAAGAACATATATAAAATGCGATCTGGAGTATTGGATATCCATACAACAATTTCGTTAGTGCTTAAGTTGAAAACCAATTGATCACAATAAGCATTTGCTCTCGATAACAACATTTGAGAAAAACTTACAGGTCAATAGAGAATGCGACCTTTATCAAAAATCTTTCAAGTACTAATTATCTGTTTGCTTAACTAACTCTAATGAAGACAATTGTCAGGCAACTCAAAGTTATCGTATTTAAGATGTCTCAGTTCTTTGCTTAGTTGCTAGGGGCACAGGTATAAAGCACATAGTGCCTCGTGAATCCCTAACAACCTTTTACTTTTTCCTACTGGCAATGAATTCATCGTAAGACAGAAACTTGGAGAGAACAACAAACATAATGGAGAAATGGCACATACCCTGCTCGTACTCCAGCTGTCCACCTCAAACAAATGGGAGAGTGGACTTGGAGATGGTACCCGTCGTCCACTGATGCATTAACCAGTAAACTACACTGTTGCGAGAATTGTATGGAACACAAATTTAAACAGAAATCTTATACTGTAAAGCTGAATTTCTTTCAAAATTTTAAAAACTTGTACAAAAAGGTTTCAGAATCAAGAAACAATAATTCGTCGATACTCATTGCAATCAAAGTAGTATTTCAGTCACCTCTGTCCTGGAGTGCTCGGGTAACTTGGTATTTGTGAACTTTCCCAATTTCTCGGCCTATTAATGTAATTACGGAAAGCAACGTAACCTTTTCCATTACATCTCTAATCCTAACAAGAAACCACACAAAATCAACATTTTCATATAATGAATTCCTTACTATGTTGATTTATAATATATGCTAAATTTATATATATAAGTCGTAAGAATTGAAAATTTGCTTCCAATAATAAAAGAATTATCTTTTTTAAGAAATTCAACAGATTGAGTACCTTGATATTATATTCACTGACAACGATTATTTGAATTCTAGAACAGGCATCTCATCATTTAAATCAAAGCAGAAAAATGAAGAATATGCCAAACTCAAGTGGATATACAGTCTACAAAGTACTAGTTGCGTTCTACCTTTGGATTCTATTTATCAGCAATCATGCACATAATTGGCACTCATGTACGCACTAGTCTAAAACGTATACACATATAGCAAATATGGAATGATGATGCCTTGTGCACTTTCCCTCTCACGCCTTTAACACAGATCTACAACGAACAGAAGTCCAAATTACCCAATGCAAGAGTGTTTAACTACGTAATGTACTCGTAGCAGCATACACTTATATCCATAAGAGCAATCAAGGAGTACCTTGCGGCGCAGGACACTGGACTGAGCTTTCCGATAGAGGAGAAGGCGGCGTATTCCAATGTAATTGGGATCAGAATTGGGAGGAGAAGGCTGAAGCATACAACTGAAGAATTCTGGATCCAATATCACGTTCTCTTTCTTCTTGTCACAATTTTCCAATTTCGAATCATCATTTTCAGGCGAATTCTTCACGATCGCTTGTTCCGCCATGCTATTGTCGATTTCACATTGAATTGTTCGACAGAAAAGCTACGAGTTTCGGAGATCGGAGACACTAACGTTTTCGATTTCGATTTCTTTCGTTTTCTGAATCAATATTTTGTGAAGATTTTGATGGAAATAGCTACGGACGGTTTATTGCCGTAGTTGGTTTTTTATTGGCGCCGTAATATTGAAAACTTATTTTGTTAATTAATTAGAAATGATCTCATTAGCATAATGTATTCAAATTTTGATAAAAATTGATCAAATATGTCGTCCCCGTAAAATATGTAACTATAATTAATTATTGATTCTGACTTGAATTAAAAATAAGGGCCAAAATTCAAATATTGAGATTGATGAAGTAATACGACCCGTCGATTTCTTAGCGTAAATTAAGTATTATGTTTAGTAGATTGAAGTGTTGTCTTTGTTAAATAATGAAATTTGATTTCACAATCAAGGTTAATGGTTCAATAATTAGGCCCGTTTGACATATTTTGCTTTTACTTTTGTTTAAAGTAGATTTTTTTGAAAATATTACCTTAATTTTTGTTTGAAAACTAATATATAAAAGAGCTTCATATTCCGCAGCGTTCTTAAAGAAAGTCATATTGGACTAATTTCCTCTAAAAACTCTTTTAACTAAAAAAAGAATTTTCATAAAATCAGTCAAATGGATAAAAAAAGCTACTTTCGACTTCTCAAAAATCATACCAAACGAACCCTTACTCCCACTCGAGAAAAATTGTAAAACTGTAAAATTAATAGTTATGAATTGGCGTTTCTTTGGGAAATAATTTTTTTGGAGTATATGTAATTGGAAAGTCGAAAAAAATTATGAATCTCATAAAATATGTGATTAAAAATAAGTTTGAAGAAATATAATTTTTAAAAGAATCTATCAGAAACAAACCATTAATTGAGTACACGATTAACTAAATTTATTAAATTGTAAGCAATTGAGTTTACACAATATCATAATATTGAGGTTAGGATTGTGTACTCCTCGTCGAGGACGTTACCGACCTTAAAGGTGACCGAGGGCATGCATGAGTCCGAATTCTATGCCCTTTCATGAAAGCTTATACCGGACTTCGAGCTGATCGAATAAGGACAATCGCCAACTCCCACAAGACTTCTATTTAACCTTATATTTAGATAGTGACTTATCAATATGACAATGTTTGATAGCCATGGTTTTTCATGAAAAATGAAAATTTCCATTGTCCACGTTTTGACTTGTTTGATAGTCATTTTTTGCTTTGGAAATTTTTTTCTTATTGTGCACATTTTCATGGAAATTATGGAATTAATTTTCCCACCATTTTGGTGGGAAAATAGAATTTCAATTTTTTTGGGCAATTAGAACAAATTTTATAACCAATTGTAAAAAAAATTTATTTTAATGGACAATTTCCATATAAAACAAAGTCAAACGAACACTAAATTTTGATACACACACACACTTTTTGGTAATGGAAACAAATTTCATAACCAATTGTGAAAAAAATTATCACTTTAATGGACAATTTCCATGTAAAACAAAGTCAAACGAATACAAAAAGATCCAAATTTTAAAATTTTTCAGGTGGAAAATTATACAAATCAAACACACTTAATTAACAAATTCCTGGAAAACAAATTTTAGACAGTTATTTTCTCTAAAATTCATTTTCTTTCCACCCATTTTCCATAATTACAATCAAACGGACCTTAAAGTCTTAAATATGGTCAAAGAGAAAGACCATTTATTTTCCTTTTTTTTTCTTTCAACTTTGCTTTAGCCTCAAATTTTTTTCAAAATATATTTTTTCTATGTTTATTTTTAAGGGTTAATTTCACAAATGGTCACTGACGTTACAGCAAAATAACAAAATAGTCACCGAAGTTCGAAACTTGCATAAACGGTCACTCAACTTTTAGTCACTTTCAAAAATGGTCATTGAGCAAAATTAAGGGACTTCTTTGTTCTAATTGAAACTCAAATTAACAACCCAGGCTCCTTCAAAATTGGAGGGGCTGAAGTGAAAATCCATTTTTATAAAACACAAAATTCACGTCTGAACATGTTCTTGCAATTCCCTTTCATGAACAATTTTATTTAGATTTTCTTCAAAGCACAAGATCCGTTGATCAGAGCACATAACCTTCTGTTTCTCAACATTTCAATGCCGTATGCATCGTGTGAAGGAATTTGGGCAAAATTCAAGCCATTGATTTCATTGTTAATGGACACAATATGATGATTACCCATGACCTTAAGACTGTCAATTGAAGGTTAGTTGGTCGAATTGAAGATTTGGGGCAGAAGAGATTCATCAAACCCGTGGGAACCAAACTTCTCGAAAAGACCGCGAAGTGCAACCATAAATTGATCTTGTTCAGAGCACAATTTTCCTTGACTTATACTTGGGCTAGGTGCGCTAGGAGGAGACGGTCCTAGCCCAAGTGGTCCGGCACCGTCATTCAACCGGATGGCTCCAGAATCAGCTGAAGAAAACTCTTATCGCGCAGCTCGCGACGGTCAGTTCTTCTGGATATAATTCAGCCTGATGAATTGATGTTTGGGCTAAATTGTTTACATGGGTAGGGTCGTCCAGGGCTGGGTTATCGATCGGTGGATGACTCTGGCCAAGTAGGTGGCCGGAAGTTGAGATTCCGGCAGTTTGCAAAAAATTAGGCAGCGAACTTTGAGTTGCATTTCTGGCCAGATACTTGGAGTTAGGGGAAGTTCTTGGGTGGAAATTGAAGAGGAGGTTATGCTCATTCCAACAGTAGTAATGTCGGGCGGTTTTGGGGGGCGTAGGTTGCCGGAATTTTGAAGAAGAAATTGATGATTAAGGTTGATTGGAAAAAGGAAATTGATGATATAGGATTTGCACTTCAGCCCCTCCAATTTTGAAGGGGCCTGAGTTTGTTAATTTGGGTTTCAATTAGAACAAAGAAGTTCCTTAATTTTGCTCAGTGACCATTTTTGAAAGTGATTGAAAGTTGAGTGACCGTTTATGCAAGTTTCGAACTTCAGTGACCATTTTGTTATTTTGCTGTAACTTCAGTGACCATTTGTAAAATTAACCGTTATTTTTAACAATCCAAAAAGGATATAAATATTAGGGCTGTACAAATGGTGTACATCTCGACTGATCGGTCCTCGCACACGAAGCTCGCGTCTGTGGCGCTGAGAGTACACATATGTTTACGACACATTGTCATGATCCAATGGTTGGTTCTCTACCCCCACTCAGCATTTTTCTAAAAATATTGAGTTATGCTACATGCACAAAATTGGGTTACAAAATCGGTTGACAAAATAACATCTACACCAATCATTTTAAAAACAGATTTTTAAATCATTTGAAATTAACGATCTAGATTTTGCCAACACACTTTATAACCCAACTTTTGTAACTTAACTTTGTACAAATAGCTCTATTGAAAAATATTATTCCTTGACATATATGTTTACGACACGTTGTCATGATCCATTGGTTGGGTTCCCTACTCCCCGGTTGGTAACACTACAGATACAATTATCTGTCTCTATATATTGTCCCCGTCACTCTGCTCTTTAGCAGAGCACCATGGCATACCGTTTTGCCCTTCTTTTCCTCTCAATCCTTCTTGCGACGCCATTTTGGTCCGCCGTGGCGGGTGGCGACGCCGGTGAAGTGGACGATATTATGATCCGTCAAGTCGTTGATCAAGGAAATGCTAACGATGATAACTCGTTGACCGACGATCATCATTTTGAGATCTTCAAGAAGAGGTTCACAAAGACGTATGCTACCAAGGATGAGCACGATTACCGGCTCACCGTGTTCAAGGCTAACATGCGCCACGCCAGGCGCCACCAGAAGCTCGACCCCTCCGCCATCCACGGCGTAACTCAGTTCTCAGATCTCACTCCCAAAGAGTTTCGCCGACAACACCTCGGCGTCAACCGACGCCTCCGCCTCCCCGTTGACGCTAACAAGGCGCCGATCCTTCCGACCAATGACCTTCCCACTGACTTCGATTGGAGAGACCACGGTGCAGTCACGCCAGTCAAGAATCAGGTTAGTTTAGCTGAGATGCAACTTTTTTTTATTGGAAATGAGCTGTTGAACCAAGACTTGAACCGATGCTAGAAAAGGAATTCAACGTTTCGATTTTAAATTTCCTATGTTACCCAGGTGTTGACTTTTAATCTAGTGCTTAATTTGGTGGTTCTCTGCATATGATTCTCACTGGTTATTCTCGATTGTGTAAAGTAGGGTTCCTGTGGGTCATGCTGGTCGTTTAGCACCACTGGAGCACTGGAAGGTGCGAACTTTTTGTCTACGGGAAAACTTGCGAGCCTCAGCGAGCAACAGCTTGTGGATTGTGATCATGAGGTGCGGCTTTTAACTCTCTTTTTGAGTTTTGGCCTTCTAATGCTTTGTGTTTTTGCCTTTGACACCTAATTTTGTGTCTTTTTTCCCCCTATTTTGGATGATCTTGACTGTGATTTGATAGAAATGCACGTCAGGTTGCATATTCTGGATATTCGGATGGCTATTTACTGGTGAAGCTTTTCTCCTATTAGAATGTTTGGAGGATTTGAGAGAATTTTGGTTGAATTTGTCTGTGATTCGATATGGATTTAGGAATGCACAGCCGGTTATATGTTCTTGATATTCACTTGAATGGCTATTTACTGGAGTTTTTCTCCTATTAGAATGTTTGAATGATCTGAAATATTTTATTTAAGTGATCAAATGATTCATTGGGATTTCGATACCAAATATTAATAATATCTAATATAGAATTTTCTGTTAAACTTGTTGAAATCAAATTATTTGCTCAGCTATCTTCAAATTCTGGGTTTTTGAAGTGGTGATTAGATGGTGTACTATGTTAAATGCATATTTATGGAAGGACTCATAGAAGCTCTATAAATCTTGAAAAGTTAGTGGTGTATGATCTGCCATATAAGTGCACTCTTGTCCCTGTTTAGATTAGATTCTCATCGATCCTGAACGCCGAAACATGGTAGTTCTTCTTGAGAATTTGGCCCGTTTGCATATTTTTGTTATGTTTTGGAGTAGACAGTGTATTATTGTTTGCGTTACATTGACTGGTTAGATTTTTTCCCTTTTCCCCCTCTAAATTACTAATTCTAGCTTGTATTTATATCAATTTCCACTATTTGCAGTGTGATCCAGAAGAAAAAGATTCATGCGACTCTGGCTGTAGTGGGGGACTGATGAACAGTGCTTTTGAGTACGCTCTTAAAGCCGGTGGACTCATGAAGGAAGAAGACTATCCTTACACGGGCACTGACCGTGCAGCTTGCAAATTTGACAAATCCAAGATTGCTGCAAAGGTTGCTAACTTTAGTGTCGTGTCCCTTGACGAAGATCAAATTGCTGCAAATCTCGTTAAGAATGGCCCTCTTGCAGGTACTGCCTTGCTGTTCCTTTCATATTAGCCCTGTTGAAATCGAGTTTTAGGAAGTATTATGTTGTGACAGCAGTTGTTTGTTGGATGCAGTGGGTATCAATGCCGCCTTCATGCAGACATACATAGGAGGGGTGTCCTGTCCATACATATGCTTTAAGCGGGTGTTGGATCATGGAGTGTTGTTGGTCGGGTACGGTGCAGCTGGCTATGCTCCGATTCGTCTGAAAGAGAAGCCATATTGGATTATCAAGAATTCTTGGGGAGAAAAGTGGGGAGAGAAGGGATACTACAAAATCTGTCGTGGCCATAATGTTTGTGGGGTGGACTCTATGGTTTCCACTGCTGCAGCTGTTAGTACCTAAGTGTAGGATATGATGTTGGCAGTCTTATTTTCTCACTTCATTTCTGTTTCTGTACGTAAGTTGTGTATAACTGATTTGCTTGTTACTTTTTAATGGCAGATTAGGTTTGTTGGGGTTATGTATTTGCCTAAACAATATAAATGTCATAATGTATTAATAATTACTGCTGCTTGTTACATGATTTCAGTCCCTCATAGTCATAGTATGATCAAGTCTCATTTGCTGTGCGAATTGCTTCCCACAGGAAAAAATGAATGAATAATTATAATGGTACATTTCACGTCAATTTTCACCCTCAATTGCTAAAAGTGTAGAGCACATTTGGTGAAAGTGAGGAAAACCTTTTTTTCTTAGACTTCCAATGTCTAGTATCTGAGCTGTAGAGCAGGGGCACGACAAGAGCTTAGGAGGGACGTGATAGGGCAGGGGGACGACAAGAGCTCAGGGGAGAGACCGTAGACGCTGGAGGAAGGGGAAGGGAGGAAGGTACATTAGGATTATTACAAAAATCAGCCTCGTTTTAAACAAAAATTGGAAAAGGACAATAACGTAAATGAGCTAAAAAAAAAAAAACATATTATTAGACTTCCTCGCAACAAATTGTTAAACAAAATCCATGCCAATCTACATAAATAAAATACAAGCAAGGATAAGATTTTAATATTTTATCATCCAATTGTTACACATGATCATAGCTGCTGAAATCAGTTAAATAGCTGCAGACTTCAAGGACTGCTTATTCTTCCCAATGACAAACAATATATGAGAACGCTCAACGCAAAAGCTTTTCCAAAGGCAACAACTTTAAAGTTTTATTGCCTCTTCTATGCATGGCCATCCAATCGAAAGAATCAAGAAAGAAACATCCCATGATTGTACACATTCGAAGTACTAATAAATCCTCAATTAGCTATAATTTAATATGATAGTGGAGCATCATTCCTCCTCATAATCAAGCAAGGTAAACGAGTACGGATAGAACTTGTAACCATCTCCCTCATAGAACTTGTTTTGAAATTCCACCCAGTGAAGCCTTAATGCGTGCAGGAAGGCACTGAGAGTTTCCATAACTAACAACACTCCAACAGTCGCAAAAATGAAGACGATGATGCCAACTACAAGAATAATTACGTTATTGTACCTGCAGCAAATAGATGGTTGAATAGTTTTAGGCTTGTCCATATAATTGCATCCACATTTCACACGTTAATCATGCATTTTTATAGTTCCTTGGGCTTAGTACACTTGGGAAAGGGTTCCAGTGCATCATTTCATTATGTCAAAGAAAATTGTAACTCAACTCCAAAATTAAAAGAAAACGAAAGAAAAGTATATAATTTCCTAAAAATCGGGAATGGATGTGCCAGTAAAGGTTTTATACATTGTTCCTTTTTGCCAATAGTGGAATTGATAATCTACTATCAAGTTAAAAAAATGTGTATGATAGATTCACTTACCCCCAGGCAAGAAGAAGAACCTTCTCATAGAACACACTGGACAACTCAGAGTGAGCAAGGCTGAAGAGAACCAGAAGATAAAAAACATTAGATTATTAGCATCTATTATCGATATAATGTATTGAACAATATTTAATAAAACATGAAACAAAAAGTTCAGGATTCTGAAACTAGAATAGACTTATTGTCATTTAAACCACTGGTGTGAATAGAGATGTCTACCTTACATTAGGCATTTTTCACGGTTTAAGCAAATATTCACTGCCTATTCGTGCACAAATTTACCGAGAATTCATGCTCTGAAATGAAACTGAAGGCATGTGATCAAAGTTTTCAGATTTGACCCAGCCATTGACCTGGTTGAAGCACTGAGCCAATGGGTAATTGGTTCAACCAGTGGGTCATAGTAAGATCAAAAGTCTAGCTACAAAATATTTTTTAAATTATAAATGTAAAAGTTCGAGATGTTTCATAAGTCAAATATGAATTTCAAGTAATTCTTAATTATTTAAGTCAAGTAAAATATTATGATGAGTTTTTATTCTCTCATATTTTTAAGTGTTTTTATTTACCATGTCCATACTAGTATATTAGTATCCAATTTTTTCATTTCTTTTATCATTTGTTTTGATCTCTGCATCTCTGTTTTATGATTTTGTAATTTATGAACTTCCTTTAATGCTTATATCATTTGTTTTGATTCTGTTAAAATTGTATTGAATTTGTAAAAAACCAAAGTCATGTATAATAAGTGTCAGTTTAATAAATCTTTCAAATATTTTACGAAAAAAAGTTAAAAGGGAATTATATTATATATATTTGGAGTAAGAATATTGCATGAGGATTGATGGTGGGAAAATGGAAGGCATTGTGATTTCGGAGGGAGAATCCATGTCTGAAAACTCCTCTCAAACACACAAGTTTTTTATGTATCACATTAAAACTGGCAAGGTCAAGGCAAACTGGGTCACTGCTTCACCATAAAATCTGTCCATTTTCGACCAGTTCCCTTGAGAACCGGTCCAACTAGGTGACCCAACGGATGCTAACAGTTTGTTTCCATTTGAGGGAAATTAGTTGAAACGCTTCAAGGTGTACTGAAGGTTCTGAAAGTATACCTGAGAGCCCATAGACGAAGATATGAAGCCGTGTTTGAGACTGCGCCAAGTACAAATTCTATTGTATGAATGAGCTGATGTACAAAAACTTCACTGAATTCAAACTCCTCATGGCCATGGGAATCATGATTTGGTTCCGACTGCAAAGACTCTTCCGAATCTGGAAGTGGTGCATAGGACTCTCCGTGGTGCCGCTGCAGAAGCATTGTATAAAAATGGCATAAGAATGAGAGAGTTTTGCACCAGAAGATTAATCCAGTAATTATGTAGAAAATAAGAATAGAGAAATATAATACATTGTGTTGTAACTTCAAAAGGAAAGGCTTTGGTAGCAGCATCCATGGAACAGAGACGAGGGCCAACAGTAATAACACAAGCTGGAGAAGTTTGATGAACAAGATGAGTATCGATCAAATAAAATAAAATGAGATGGTTTGAAGGTAAAGAGAAAAGAAATCTGGAGAAGTAGTATTTTGCTTAGAATAATTAATCAACCTGAGTTGTTTTCTGCCCAGGGAAAAGCTGGTTTTCACCAAGTTCATCAGTAGGACTCAGGAACATGTATATCATTACATGATACAAATCAGATTTGGATCCAGTGCACCACTTTATGATTACAAGGACAGAGAGGTAGCCAAAAAGACTGTTCAAAAATATCATCTGGGGTATAAATTGGAACCTGAAATTGCATAAATGGTCCGTAAGTTGAAGAGAAAATAAACTAACAGCAAAAGCAACTCGTCTCATAAAGAGGTATATGAAGATGCAAGTGCACAGTGTTTGGACACATCAAATTCAAGTCGTTAAAAGAATTATTAGCAAGGAACAAACTAAAACTTACCATGTATTTATGCTATTCCCAAAGAATTTCGCATTAAAATAGCTCAATATTATTCCTAGGTTCATTTGGGCCACCCCAAGAAGAATTGACATTTTCATTTTCAATGAATTAAGGAATGGCAGCTCACTGCGAGAACCGTGCCATGCGGGATCCACACCAAATGGATAAGTGTCACGCACCTTGATCAATCCCACAGTAGTTGCCTCACTACATTCAGAAAAGTCGAATACAGGAAGAGATTATGCAACAACAATAAAAGATTCTATGTAAATAACGTTAGGGATACCTGCAAGACGGATCACGGCATGAATATGCAGATCGGCCAAATAATTCGAACGGCACAGAGAAAAATTCATTGTATATTAACCCCGTATAAATTGAGAACAGTGCCATTAACAAAATAACGTAACGTCCGCCAAAAGTCATTTCCATGATATCTCCTAGTTTCTGCATCCAAAGACAGTATAGTATAGTCACCTCTCAAACCACTAAGCTAAAAATTTGAGGGACAGCAGGCCGGCCAAAAAGGTTTCCATGAAGGAAGCATACACGTTTAACCAGAAAGTCTATCAAGATCATCAAAAAATTAACTAAGAAGTAATCTGAGTATTCCAAGGGTCACCAATATATATTTTCTCCATCAAATGTCATATGCTATATATGTAGTCCTAACAGGTGCTACTTACTGTAGAGCTCTAAACTATGGGATAATAACAATTAGAAAACTTGAATGTAGTGACCAAACTCGAGAGGGAAGAGTGTATGAGATTAAAGCACATGTCGTAAGACAAGCTTTTAGTGTTTAAATTTGTTTAGCTAATTAATATACCATTTCCATCTATTGTCCTGAAATAGTATTTAAAGTTGTTTCAATAATTAGCATGCCTTTATCATATTAGGAACACTATTCATGGTACGCAGCTCAACTTATAAAAAAGGCCCTCTTTTGAAATATCACATGGGCCATTTATTATTGCACACTTTCAAGAGCATCTGCAACTATACCAGTTCATTTCATCCTCTAATCTACAAGATAAACTCATCAGATCATTCAATGGTGCCAAAAAAACATTTATTCTACTAGCCAAGCATAGTCAGAATATGAAATGCAACATTTGTCTTCTAAAAGAAATAAGTTTCAAAATATAAGGATAGAACAAGTACCAACTAATGCTAAAAGTAGGACCCTTTTGATTATCATCCTCAGAAATGAGAAGTGACATGTTAAACGAACGACAGAAGTACATATATACGGAGTTACATCAGTTCATGAACTGGTATAATTTCTAAATTAAATCAGGTTTGGCTAACTGAAAAAAAGAAGAAATACCTGACTTAACAGCTTTTTTTCTCTGATTATAAAATATAATGTTGCAAGTAACAGGCATATTCCATGTCCCCAGTCGCCAAACATCACAGCAAAAAGAAATGGGAAGGTCACAATTGTGTATACACCAGGATTTGCTTCCTGATACTTGGCGACTCTGCAATAAGACAAATCAAACCATATGAATTCAGCAACTCACACTTAGAAGCACCCTTTGGGCACAACAACAACAAATTTACAAAGCTTGTGACACTAAGAGTCCAGTATACTTTAGTAACAACACTTCCACTTTCCTTGGAAAAATCACCACCACCCTGGCCCACCACGAGAGAACAAAACCCACTGATATATTCACATAGAATGGTTTTTAAGAATTTTTTGTCAGGAATATCCAATTTCTCACGTATAGGAAGATAGATATCTAATATAGCAAGTTTGACTAAATCTTTTTTCCACAGTACGTCACGTTTCAAAATCTTTTGTGATTCTAATTGTTCCATATAGTTATTTTACTCTCTCAATCTCTTAACAACCCACCCTTCTGCGGACCAGCTTTGTCCCCATTTCTGTTGATGGTTGGGAAGTGACGGAATGGTGAGAATAATCTATCACGTATTATTAAGTTCAACTGATTATTAAGTTCCAAAAGCCATACAAAAAGTAGAATGATGTTTCAAAACCTGTGGTTTTCAATCTTTCAGAATGTCATCCAACTCTAGATGCTCAGGAAGTTGGACCAGTGAACACCAAGTCAATGAATTACATACAATATAAATTGGATGCAACTAACCATAGACAAAAAATGTGGTTCATCCAACTCCTTTAATTTCAAATAAAATCGACACAAGTTACAATGTTGTTTTCCATCAAGAGTCAATCCATAAAAGCGAATTTTGGACTTTCCATACACTTAAATGTTATCTCCAAGATCATTTAACACTTCCCCATATTAGATATTATGAATATAGTAAAACTCACCCATAAGCGTCAACAATCTCTTGAAAGGCAGAAGTAAATTTGTTTGTTTGAAAATATGTAGGCGGCATCTCTCGTGTATGCAAAACTTGGAAAATAGCATCAACCTGTGAATTGCAGTCCTGTGTTGCACGATGTAATGCATCTTGGATCTGCAAAATAAAAATCCTCATTAGAACTGACCAACTCTATTCATCTATATGAAAGGTGAAACTTCGCAAAACAAAGCCAAGTGTTAGCAACTAGGGCTGTTAATTGATTGGATTTTGATCCGAATTCGATAAAATTAATGAGAGATGTATTTAAGGTTTCAGTCCGATAACTCGATTAAGACTCGAATCCGATAATCCGTTAACTAAATTGAGCAAATATGGATATATATATGAATCTGATCCGATAACAACCCGATCCGATTTGTTATAATAATATAATACATTTATATATTACCGCATAATTTATTACATATAATTTTTTTCATTTTGAAACTTGTATTATACTTCGACTTTTAATGAAGAATGTCAAACTTATTAAAAGAAAAAAAGAATGAGTAAAATATTTCGAATTGAATATCCGACAATATAGCAAATCGGATATGAATTTAACAATTAAATATCCGTTGGACTATCGGATATGGGCAGACGATCCATTTACAGCCCTACTAGCAACATGTCTCAGCTCCCTCATACTCTTCTTTTCCTCCAATTGTATAGCAGAACGAGATTACAGAATACTTACCTGTTTTCTAGCAAAAATAGGACTCCACCCTTCTGCCACCAGACATTTCTTTGTAACATCAATGCTAAGCATGTTTAGAGTGTGGTAAATGGATTTCTCCCTCCTTACCTATGTCAGCACACCAAGATATAATTTAATGAATTAGTAGAAAGGCATAGTTTCACAATATAATGCAGAGAACAAGTGAAATCCACTTAACACACTGCATTTTAACTTAAGTATAGACAACATAAAAGTTAAAAAGCTTATGTGATGATTGACAGACCAAAAAATTCCAACGCTCAAACTGTTCTCCAATAGTTTGTAACAAGTTGCCACGGTGCACTATTCCAGCATCAATGGTAGTCTTTAACTCCGACAGTCTCCCTGAGACCTGAAAAGGGAAGATAAAAATGTGTCACTTCAATTCATTAGATAGCAAGATTACATTTTCGACAGTTTCTAAACCTCGCTTTTAGAGTATACCTATGGAACCAAGATATAGTCATATTCCAACCGAAAAATCTGAGTAGATTGAACACGCTTAACCATTGCCAGAGTTAGCCACATCCTGAAACCCATGAAATTTCTCTAGTTCTTGACCTAGGTTTGAATTAAACCCTAAATGTCATGATTCTCTTTGATAACCACACCCAAAAATCCATCAAACTTCTACAATCAGATGATCCCTTGGTTATGATTTTTTGGAAGAGTGACAACCTTTCTTTACACTGCTATTTTGCATCTTTGGATCATACAGAGTAGCCAAAAAGCTTTCAAAGAAAATCGACTTGAATTCCTAGAACCACATGGAAAAAAATAACAGTAATTGAAGACTGCTAATATCAATAAAATAAGGACACTGGAGTAGCCAAAAAGTTTTCAAAGAAAATCTGACTTGACTTCCTAGAACCAAGTGGAAGAAAATAACAGTAATTGAAGACTGCTAACGTCAATAAAATAAGGACACTAACAGCCAAGGCGAAAAAGTCATTTGCCTCTTTGGAACATGGAGAGTAACCTTAAGATTTTCCTTGAGACAAATCGGATTTGACCACGTGGAAGCAAATAATTTAGTGACACTGAAGACCATCTACGTCAATACAACAAGGACACTATCAAGCAAGGTGATGAAGAAATATTATGAAGGAGCAATGCAGAGAGAATACAAGAGCTCCGGAGAGAGGGAAGGACAACTGTAGATCTGAATCTGATTAAATTATATTACATACCTCGTTGATTGTTTGAGCTTGCTTTCCTAGGTCTTCAGCAAAAGGGTAACGATTTGCTCCAAAAGCATCACATATTTTTAGAATTTTATTCTTTGCCCTTTCTCCGGAAAAGAAGACCGCAAATACATTTTTCTCAACCTATAAATAACAATCACGTCAATTATCCTCTTTTGGTTCCAAAAACAAAGCCAAAGTGTCATAACGAAAGATTTACATAGGTTGTCAAGTATTTAAGATACAAATCTCTATATGTAGTGCATGCATGTACATTAACATTACTCATGTTATAATATTTGTCTAGTACAATTCATTTCTAAACGAGATATCCATAGTGGCCAAGGTGAACTGCAGAAATGATCTTCTTTTTGGACATCCAAACTTGATACATTACACCTGATTTTTCAGATATTATTTTAACAACTAATTTCTACATTAACAAAATTTCCTATTTAGTGTGATAAAAATGGAAATTCTGTTATGTTGTCTCAAGAAATTTATTGTGATGTATATCACGTACAGGTACATCGTGAGATAAGACAAGTTCGTGGGGAATCCAGAGACAAGTTGGGATCCCTACAAATTTTCATGTTACCTTGATTTATTAGATATTTTTCTTCCCCAAAGGGGGCGAGCATAGCTTTCTAGATGCCTAGCACAATAAAATGGTGATTAAGAGAGGATTCAACAAGTGCAGTGTCATAATACAAAAAGATTCGAGAGTATATATATTTGTATGTATATTTTGGGTACATCCTGTTTCAAGTAAAAAACTAAAACCAAACACAGAACGCAAACAGACGGCAAAAGTCGTGCATCCACAAAGAACTATTGTCCTCTCTTATGGTACAAGAAACCATAATAATTGCATGCCCTAGGCTAAATCATGGAGTCTGTAAGAGCCTGCTGTAATGTAAATGATCTTATTATGAAAACAAACTAAAGTGTTCTGCAAAAACCTTCTCTCCTGAAACAGGATCTGTAACTGGGTTATCAACTACGGCCTGCTTCAAAAACACGTTACCCCTGGTAGCTCGGAATAAAATCCTCTCAAAGGCAATTGATTTTTCCCTGGGAACAAGTCCTGTGATAAATCCCAACTTAACTTGCTTGGATGGATCAGTCGTCGTTTCCTACGGATACAAAAAATAAAATTTTACTCTAATGGAGGAAAAATTACCTGATACTAAAAGATTAAAGTCAGAATGTACCTGCTCTGATAACAGTGGAGTTTCCAATGATTCTTCACCACTCTGATTTGAAGCATATTCTCTTTGGAAAGCTTCAGCGCTGCTCATTGCAGATTGAAAAAATTCACCAGCCTGAGGGAAAAAATATCATCCGTGTCATCAAATTCGAACAGATATTATATCTAGGAAAATAGGACTAACTAGGCATAGAGCTGGTTTTAATTCTGAGTTAGGAGAGCAAGGGTGGAGAATCCTACTTATTAAGAAATACTAAAATAAGAACCAAAGGGTAGTAGTTTACTCCTTATTCTAGAGTCAGACCTCGTAAGAAAAAATTAAAATAAAAATGGTTGACGAAGCAGTGGCTTCAGTGACCACATAGGGAGATAAATTGTGATGATAAACATATTCTTTAAGTCCAATTCCACACCAGTTAGAACAACTCATAAATGTCACTGGAAGCACGATCAGCATTTATGTATCTATTATGTCATATGTAGAAACCTAAAAGATTATTAAAAACTGCATCACTAACGATGAAGATATATTCAACTATTTCCTTGCCTATAAGCGCACCCTGGCACTAAGTAAATACAATTAATCTTTAAATTTAGTGAATATAAAGTAAGGCAACCATTCTATCAAAAAGTTTGATTCTTTATCGAATTTCTTATGAAAAGGAATTTTAAATAACCATTATAAACATCTACATCGTGTCATAGATAAAGGAAAAAATGGTAGACATAGACTCAACCATTCTTTCATCCTTCTAAGTTTTTTTTGTTCCACGAGTGAAGAGTGACAATAGATCTGCTAAAACAAACTATGGTGACTAACAAATAGATAAGACACACCTTCTGTATAACAAGCTTGTACTCAGCTAGTTCGTTGTAGGAGCGCTGTAACTTCTCACCATTTGCATTAATTTCAACCAGCTCCACTTCAAGTTCACCAAGCTTAACCTAAAATGCATGCAGATTCAGGACTAGACAACTCCTAAGAAAACAGCAATTTCAGGGACTATAAGTATCTATACATACTTCCAGGTCATCCAGATTGAGATCAGCTTCTGTCACAGATCTTACTGCAGGTGAAAAACCTGCCTTTGAAATTTGCTCCCGGAAAAATCTTAATTTGCGTGCCATCTCTCCACATCTTTTAATCTTCAAAAGAGGGAAAACCAACAATTAATTTCACAAATGGCACACTCTTAGGAGAATAGAATTTGACATCACATGCAGTATAAATAAAAAATAGATAAATAGTAAGCAGTCTATCCAGCTCAAAAAGCATTGGGAGCGCCACAGTATCCCATCTGTGTACAAACTGAAAATCCATAGAACAGAAGAACGTAATATTATTTAATAATTTTTAAGCAACACTTTTCACATCCCAAAATGAACTGGAGTTGAACCCGCAATATTAAAAAAAGTTCATGATCCACCTCGTTATAATGATAAGGATGACAATCGAGCACACAAACATTCATTTTGAGAAATTATATAAATCCTACCCAAAAATTTTTCACCTTCTTCAGGAATTCTTTGGTTGCTTTAAGGTAAGAAAAAACACTTTAGATAGTTCTACACACACACGCACACCTTATACATTTACTTTTGCGTTATAAAAAAATTATTACAACAGCTCACATATCGAGAGAATGAACAAGTTACCTGATTGGCATAGGTTCGCTGAAATGGGCTTTTTTCTGCATTCAGCTGAAAGGGGAAAAAATCAAAACATCATTCAGGGAAAGGAATTATTGTGATAATGCTAGCTCCTTGATCCATCTCTATTCTAATTAAGGAACATATTTATCAAATAAAGGAAGGAAAAATAGTTTTATGAACGAGCTAAGGAACTGCACATTAGCACATGCACATGCACATGCAAAAAACACAAGCATAGTTGATACTAAATTGCTGATTATTGTTAGTTTGTATGTATATAAGAACATCAAAGTAAGAGACCGAACTGTCATCCTCTTCAGTCATGAAAATATTTAGCCTATATTCTGTGGAATCCACTTGCATGTCTAAGCAATACCTTGCCCGATTCTATAACTACAAGCTATTCCCTATCTATACTAATTTGTATAACTTGTTAAGTTCTAAACACAAGCTCCTGTATCACATAATGCAGAAATTTCCATCTTTCACCTTCACTAGCATGTCACATTAACCTTCACCAGCATGTCAGTAGATTCAAAGTCAAAATAACACTGAAACACATTAATTATTAATTCCATCAGATTTCATACTATCTAATCCAGACATAAAAATCTTCTGCTCACGCTATTCAATCAAAACTCCTGGCTAATAACCTACAGGAGTAATTACTTCATCTATTTACAGTAATAAGCTCATGCGTGAGTCACACAATTTAAACCTCGCAAATTGAGAAATATGAAGCTCGGTTATCCCTCCAACTAAGTGAATCTCAGATTCCCAATTGCAGCAAAACACTAGCGAAGGCATACAAACAGAATCCGCAACTAACATCAATTCAACAACTCCATAAAACTAATCAAAATATATTCTCTATATATACATTAGAGGAGAACTAGTTACGTCTTTGAATTGGATTAGGCCGAGGTCGCCGAGGTAGGAGATGGTGCGGTGAGCGGACTCTATGGGGATGATAAGTTGGACTAGGTGCATCGGCTCGGACCGCATTAGATCCATCGGCGGACAGCATCCTCCACTACCCCGCTCTCCCATTTTGCACCCTCCGATTCGATTACCCTATTCACTCTCTTTTTCTCTCTCTATATGCAGCGATGTCTGAACACTTCGAGAAATAAATGAATTACAATGGTAGTAATTGAGAGAGAGATTTACATCAGTACATTGTCAGAGAGAGAAGAAAAGCCTTGCTGGCCCATCTTCGGATTATTTATTGTTTTGTTTACCTCTGATCTATCACGTCATTCATAATTGATTATTATTTATGCCCTTCTTTGTGCTCATTTTGGGGAAACAAATTCATTTTGAAATAATAATTTTTGAATAATATGTAATTAAAAATTAAGATAAAATTTTGAATTTACTTGTAGTCTGAAAATTTTTAATTGGCTAACTGTAACCAGTAGCCCACTATGCCAAAAGCGAGATAAACATCATCATCATTTGTTGATACCTAATTTTCTTCAACAGTGATATAATTGGTTTTCCTCTTGCAACAACAATGGAAGAGAGAAATGCCCCCTCATTAGTTATTAAGTAGGATTTCATACTTACTACGCTCCTAAAAATGTGATTTGGTCCACTTGAGACTAGTTTCTTATTGAACAACTTGAAGGCTTTTTCATTTGCTTCTTTTATTTGAGTCATTGCATTTGTCCATTCTGGCACAATTGTTGCCTAGTTGCAGACCATAATAAACTTTTCAGTGTGAGGCCCTTATACATCAAAGTGAAGTTACTATGCAGGTGTCTTGCACAACGCTTATGTCTAATTCTTTCACGGAAGAGATTAATGGAGTCTACCAAACCCTTCTATTAACAGATATGAAGGTCCAAGCCATGCTGTTATACATCCCAATGTCAACAATAAAAAAATATATGACCAATTCCCAATTTCTTTTGTTCTGAGCATCCACTACAACCCGTGCAACATGGAATATGCAATTCTCTCCATAATACCAACTGCAGCCAACAACTGTCCACCTTGTTCACTTCTTAAAAAGTATCAATCCAAACCAATCACAAGCCTATACAATGACCTAAATCCTTATTTGTAAGCCCCCAAGCATATGTAACATCTTTTGAACATGGGTCGTAAACTTTCAATTTGAATTGTGCTACCAAGATTTGTTCTTTTGAGTTCTTCACCATAGTCCTACAGTATCTTGTACTGCTCAGCTACAAAAATTGTTAATAAATTCTAAACATTTTGCTCTTATCCTATAAAATTGATGCTTTGATATCTCATACATGGAGTCTTCATTTACTGTCTCAATGAAACTGCTAACGGATAGTTTTGGATCTGATCTAAACTTACGTATGTATTTCTTTGCCAAGTATCCAGCCTGCCACACCATTGTGCAAGTATGTTCATCTTTGAAAGTGTTAATCCTGAAACTTTTATTTGGCTGTTGGTGGGCATATAACTATCATAGACAGCTATTCTCACACCTCACCATTAGTTTGGTTCCTTCATTTTTCACATATCTTATGTACCTTGCATTTTTTACTGAATATTGTATCACTAGATGCCTTGTGTCTTTGAGTTGTTAAATTGCATGCATGTATGGAATAAAGCATGCCAATTGTCTTTGTCATACCATTACTACATAATAAGAAAGGAAAGAATTACAAAAGATCATTACGTAACTGGAATTTTCAATCTTGTGTGTCAGTTGCAGGGGTCAACCAAACCTCATTCCTAGCTCTTGAAGATGAACCTAGGGGTGGGCGTGGGTTGGGTTGGGTCGGTTTTTTACCCAACCCAAACTCAATCCAATATGGTCGGTTTGATCAAAAATCAAACCAACCCAACCCATTTATGTGTTCCAACCCAATCAAGTTTCGGTCGGGTTGGGTCAGTTTGGTCGATTTGGACATTAAGGCCCCGTTCGGGAGTGATTAAAATCCAATTAAAATTGAAAATATGACCGTTATTGGGCCCCACCCGTCTAATAAAAGTCAACAATAACGGCTATATTTTCAATTTTAATCCGATTTTAATCCCTCCCATACAAGGCCTAAAAATCATAAAAGTATATTCCGACAATAAAAACCTATCAATCACATGAAATGTATAAATAAAAAATGCTAAATAAAGAAAATAGAGGCATTTTGTACTTATAATTAAACATGCATTTGTTTTCAAATCAAAACTTAACAAGAAATGTGAAAGATTAATCAAAAATCCACTACAACAACTTTTTAATAGTATAACCGCAAGTTAAATTATAAACTTGGAATAATCATAGATACTCTCAATACAACTTCGTCAAGATTTTAAAGTGCAAAAGTTCTAAAAGATTTTCACCAACAAATTTTAGCAATTAAGAAATTTACAAAAATATACTTTTCCAAGAATTTGTTTAAATCCAAAAGAGGGACATGCAAAAAAGCATTCACAGTTGTCAATTTCTTGTAACTCCATATTAAGAACATGACCAATAACTTCAAGTATACTTCAAAAATTTTAAGGAAAAAAATTAACAATTTATATTGGGAAAGTAAACAAACCTGACTATTAGGAGGAGGAAGATTATTAGGTTAGGGTTGTGTAATTGTGTTTTATGACTTGTTTATCCAGTGACTTTTGCCTTTTGGAATGAAGTTGTGTCTTTTTGTTATTTTTTTAACTAAGTGGGTCGGGTCGAGTTAAATTGATTTTCTTGGATTAACTCGTGACCCAACCCAAACCGGTAGATTCGGGACGGTTCGGGCTGTTTAGACGGGTTGGTTTGACTTTTGCCCACCCCTAGATAAACCCCTTCTTCACTGTCAATTGGAATGCTTCTCAGGTCATCTGAGTTATCGTAGTATGTTTTATCACTATCTACAACACCTGCATTGCCCTGATTTTCATCCCCATCTTGTCATCACCAATATCAAGAGGTTGAGTTAACCTGAATAATGTATCTTCATCACTGTCATCTTCAGCTACATTTTTCTCCATATTCTAAATCACTAAAGTTCTTCAAGTGTCTTCCTTCAAATTCATAGGCCCATCATGTTTAGCAAGATGAACCACATGTTCTTCAACATGTGGTGCACTATTAGTATGAGGCACCACAAGTTCCCCATCACTTAGAAAATCTTCCACCACATTTTCTTCACCAGTTGGTGCATTATCAACATGTTCAATTGCAAGTTCATCCTCTATAGCCTCTACTTCAACTTCAATTGCAGATTCCTCCATTGTAGCCTCCACTTCAACAACAACTGCAGGTTCATCTACTGCAGGCTCAGATTTTCATCAACTACAACCCCAAAATCAGTATTACTTGCAGGATCACCCATTGCAGCCCCTACATTTTCACCAGCCTCCTGAGCTCCTATCCTTATATCAGCATCTCCATCGATATTATCATCCACATTAACTTCCATTGGATGTACCTCATGATCACCCTCTGTGGCTGCTTGCATTTCATCTATTTTAACTACACTCTCAACCTCATCCACTATATAAAAACTTTCATCAACTACAACCCTAAAATCAGTATCACCCATTGCAGTCCCCATATCAACATCACCTGCATGATCATCCATTGCAGCTAGCATCAAATGCAGGTTCATCTATTGCAACCCCCATATTTTCACCAACAAATACAGGTTCATCCATTGCAACCCCCACGTTTTCACCAACCTCATGAGCTCCTGTCCCAACATCTGTATCTCCATCGGTATTATCATCCACATTAACTTCCATTAGATGTACATCATGATCACCATATGTGACTGCTTTCATTTTATCTATTTCACATGCAGTGTCAACCTCATCCATTGTTTACAAATCATTACCCTCTACACAATGATTATATACATCCATAGTATAGTGCATATGGTGCTCAACTTGTCCATCATCCTATGCATTCCCTTTTTCTTCCACCTCCTCCAAAACCTCACTTAGGTCAACATCCACAACTAAAATATCATCTCTCACTTTTTCATCCCATGGTAATTCCAACACTTCAACCACATGTAAACACCACAACTTTGCCATCATCTTATCCCCAAGCAACTTCAAAAAATTCATAAAGTCTAGATCCTTCACCAACAAAAACGATGCCTCACTAATTCTCTTTTTTTTTCAACCTTATAATGATGCCTCATTTTCTGAGAGTATCCCAACATTTTCAAGGTATTGTCTAATAAAAATCTATTATATCAAACCAGACTCACGTAGTCAAGATACGCTATCTTACCATGCTCGTAAACAAAATTGTGCATCTTGACGAATAATATACCAATATGGTGTAGTATTATGGTGAAATAAGTAGAATTTTTCCATGTAAAACAAATTCAATCAAAATGATCATCAGATCCAAACCCTAGTCTCACAGTATATAAATTCATAATGTGAACCCATAATGATTGCATATTTTATGATACACCCAAATCAATAAAACGGTAAAAAAAACATGTTATATTACAGTAAAAGAAACCACATCAAGACTCAGTATGTAACAAAGAGCCATGTTATTTTCAGAAATTTCAAAATACAAAAATACTCGCAGTTAAACATGCATCGTATGTGACAAGCAATATCTTCAACATATTCACCAGATTCATTGCTTTCTTCACAGACATTGTAGAAAATGACAATATCTCTCTATGTATGTAACGTGGATAGGTTAGTGGGAACTAATTGGTTATTTTTCAATTTTTAAATCAAAGGAAAAATACTGATCGGACGAAATTGTTCATCTTTAAAATGGTTAATGTACTTGATTTTTTAATTTTCCATGTCAACGACAGTGTTTTGGACTGTTTTCCTCCAAGTGAACCCCAGTTACATATTGATGAAAGGTTGGAGACCTCCGTTGGTACAAAATGAAGATTAGGATAAAGTGTACGAAAAATGAAAAGTTTAGGGAGGATCGTTTCTGCAATTTTCCTAAATTTTTTCCTTCAAAATGAGGCTCAAACAAGGGCTATATAACCTCTAGCCTCTGTTTGTCAACCATTATCCAAAAACTCTTTTTTCTACATACTCATTTTCAACCAAACAATAAAATATTATACACGTAAAATCAAAACTTA